TCCTCCTTCCAGATGACACACCTAGCACCTTCCTACCTGTCTCCCTGATCACTTCTGCTGTAGTTTCCCAGTCATCTGGAAGTTCTTCCTGACCACCCAAAGCCTGTCTCAACTTCTGTCTGAATTCCTCACGGCATTCTTTCTTTTGCAGCTTCCACCACTTGGTCTTCTTTTCTGTCTTTCCTCTCCTCTTCTTCCTGACCACCAGAGTCATCCTACTGCTGTCTGGCTACACTTTCTCCTACCACCACTTTGCAGTCACTAATCTCTCTCAGATTGCCTCGTCTACATAGAATGTAGTCTACCTGCGTACTCCTACCTCCACTCTTATATGTAACTCTATGTTCCTCCCTCTTCTGGAAATAGGTGTTAGCTACAGCCATTTCCATCCTCTTAGCAAAATCCACCACCATCTGTCCTTCTAGGTTCCTTCCCTTAACACCAAACCTGCTCATCATCACCTCCTCATCACCCTTGTTCCCCTCACCAACGTGCCCGTTGAAGTTTGCCCCAGTCACCACTCTCTCCCCTCTGGGAATACTCTCCATCACCTCATCTCACTCACTCCAGAATCTCTCCTTCTCTTCTAACTCACAGCCTACTTGTGGATGCTGCTGCCTCAGTATTAAACAATGACAAAAGTAGGAACACATGAACAGTGAGTGTGTTGGAGCGAGTCTGAACCGACTGTAGTTGGTGGAGGGAGAGAGACACAAGGGAGATAATGGCCACACAGTGGACCTTGAAGCTGCTGCCACAATGAACAGATCACCACAGTTAGCTGTTAGCCTAACAAGCTTGCAGACTGTGGGCAAAGCTTAAATGTTTGTCTTTCTGCAAGTTTATGCTTGTTTAGCAGGTGTTTTGTTAAATTACTCTCACTGAGTTTTTATTGGTCTTATTGCATGACCATTAACGAACATAGGTGTTGTAAACTTTAGTTTCACTTCTCCTGGGCTCCCTGTCTCCACTGCTGTGATAGCAGCTGTCTGCTCCCTCTGTGCGTGTGTGTGTGTGCGTGCAGGATCTGAGCACCACCTGCTCTCGTTCAAACACCAACACAAAGGAGAAGCAGCTCCATAAACACCAAAACCATATTTTAATCTCACCCAGTGGTCTTTGATAAAATGCTCCTATAGATCCCTAGTGCATTAGCATTGGTTATCCTGTCTGATTGTGAGTTACACCTACTACAGCCTACAGTTTGCTAACTAGCTATGCTTTCGCCCTGCAAATGCATCTTTGCAATTCTCCCTCTACATGTTCTCCCGGCACATTTCTGCCTTTGGGCAGAGTTCCAGTATCTTTACAGGACACGGCCCCAGAATTTTAGAGCAAAGAATACTCCTTCTTATTCCATGATTTTTGAAAGCTAATTTTATATACTTTGGCGATGTTTTTAATCTTTCAAGTTTGTCTGGGTGGTTAATAACACATCTTCCTGTGGTATGATAAATTGAGAACACATGCATTTCAATTTTACCCTGACTTTACATTTCAACATCAGGTATTCAGCAGTGATAGCATGTTATTATTAGTTGTTGAAGTCATTATGGCCTTTCTTTGTCTCCATATGAATATCTGGTCAGTCATGAGTCTTGTGTACAGACATCTGTCAGAGGTAAATAATACCAGATATTCTAACTTTGCTAAATATTGATGTTTATACAGTAATAAAATGAAAAACAAATTGTGAATTTAAGAAGGGTCATTTTCAATTACATCATGTTATGCAAGTTTCAGTAATTAAAAAGAAATGTAAAATTTGCAAGTACTCTGACTCAACAGTAAAGGTAGCTTTTGGTTCTCACTTCCCAGGACCACTAAGGTGCCACTGGTTAAGAGGAAAAATGCCCTGAATATAATGTGCACCGGCTTATTTTAGTGGGGCCTTTTTGGGAGTCAGTCGATTTGATTTTAGTTAAACCAACATGCTGTCGCAGGAGTCTCAAGGAATGCCAGTCTGTGCATCCATCTCTCTACTAGCCAAAGGGGAAATGATAAAAAATGTAAATGCCTCTGCTCTCATCCCAGCCTAAGATGGAAGTGATGTGATTTGACCTAAGAAATATTTATTTTTCACTTCCTCATCACAGGATATAAAATTTTTATTTACTTATTATCTAAGGATCATCTATGGATCAGTTCAGACATCTCATGAGCACATTTTCAGATTTTTGTGTAGAAATGTGTGACACAATTACTGATTGTTAAATCATATCAAAAAATCTGACAAAACCCTGTAACCTGTAAAAAAATCTTTTTACATTTTCCACACTGCTAGTCACTAAGTTTCTTTCAGGCACATGTTAAACCTACAGCTAAAGCACAAAACAGTATAAAAATGTCATTAAAGCTGACACTGAACATTTATTTTTATATAACTATTAAAAATAATTTAAGTACCTATGGATGCTTTGCAACTGTATATGAAAACATAGGCCTTAAGCCAAGTACATACAATAAAACCAAAGTAAGTTCTGATGCTTAGCAGTTCATATAGTCGTGTATCATCATAAATATACATTCACCATGCACTTTATTAGGTAAACTTGTACATTTGTATGCACTTCAGTGCAACACTTCTATCTTAACATCTGTGTTTATGAAGCTCAGAATGTTTCAGTTTTTGGTGAAATTGTCAGAAATGTATAAATTCAATTAT